TGAGAGAGTTTATTCGACGCCAATCAAAAACCTAGAAGGAAATAGCAGAGAGACATCAATGTGTCTCTTTCAGAAATCCAATTCTGTTTCGAACGATATTCTCATAATTTAAAACAAAGTTTTCTGTCTTTCGAAGACATATTCAAAGATTAATTTGATTTGAACACAATTTGAATGAAGAAGAAACATGAAACATTTTCTTTGAAATTAATCGAATAATTGAATATCTCAAAAGAAAACAAAGTTTATCGTTTTTATCAAGTCGTTCTATTTTTTATCAGTCGATGCAGTCCTCCACTTGATTAAAACATTCATATCGTCCTCAAAAACAATTGCTTTTCATTTCAATAAAGTTTCTCTTATCATAGATGAATTTTATATCAGAATGTTGTGCAGCTAACTGTTTAATCACGGGAATCGATTGTTTCTAAAATCATCTGATATGTTATAGTTTAGATGTCTCGCAATGTTTTGAATGAAACGTTGATAATTCATATAATCGAAATTTGCAAAATCTTCTGGTAAGATATTTTGTAATCATGGCTGCCAGATAAATTCTTTTCCAATAACATGCTTTGCAATATTAATGGTTCTCGTCATTGGAATCTAGCTGAATTTATATTACAAGTAACAACAACTGCAATATCGCTTGCTCTTGCAGCTGTAATGCTTCATTTGGATTCCTTCTCCAACAATTGAAACTGACTTTGCATGGATCACTGTTCGGATGGCTTTGCTTTTAATTTTTATTTCAAGTGCATTCGACCCACCTCTCATTTTGGATCGTAAGGTCTTGACGAGTTTTGTTTTTCAAAGAAAAATTTCGTTTTAATTTTATCTAGAAGTAAAATATGATGAGTGAAAAATGAAGGAACTGCCTGATATTCGGAAAAGTGTAGTAACTGATTATGAATTGATTCTCTAATGCATGTACTATCCAGCGAGTAACTATTAGTGCTCGTTGAGTGAGCATATTCATTCGGGATATAAAGTTGGAGATGTTTTATTCTCGAGGTGGCTGCTTAAAGATTTGCATTGTCGTGATTGTTCGATGCCAATGACCTAATTATATATCGATTTTCTCAGTGACAAAAATGTCTTGTTATACAAAAAAAGAAACACTAAATGTGCGTTCTACCTTTCATAGAGTAATAAACTGATTTTTTTAAGAATACAGTGTTGATCGAAAGTGTCTGTATGACAATTAGTGCTCTATGGAACCAACTTTTCCAATCCTGAATAAATTAATTGATTTACTCAGATTTCGATCCCGTTTTCTGATAGAAGTCTCAATCCAGATTCCGTTGAATCCCGAAAATTTTCTGACATAGGAAAGTTATTGAGGTGGCTGTTAGGGTTAGCTGCCGGAGAGCAGTGAAAAAAAAACGATTACTTCTCCTATTGAACGAAAAGTAATCGAGATGATTCGAGAACTTCTATCAAATATTATCTTTCTTCGAATAATGATCAATATGAATACCTTTTTTCTCATCAATCAGAGTAATTACAAAAAAAACAATAGTAAAATAATAAATACAAGAATGTAACGATTATTAATCAAGGACGCAAATATCATTCAAATAGTAAGAAATCAAGGAAGAATAAAAAAGAGTGTGGATGTGGTTGAGGTGTCAGTTAACTATATTCTCTCACAATCGATGACGATCATTCGCTTTTAGGTTTCGACCCAAAACCTATTTTCAAACAGATTTGTACACTGAAATTAACGTATACAAACCATCGAGAAGCGGTAGCAATCACCGTCGACGTGTCAAATCTTTGTCGTCTCTTTTCACATGTTAAACATTTAATTATGTGCATCAGTTCGTTCGAAGACATAACAACTGTAATCGACAGATTACAATATTTATCTGGTGCCAGCTTCGATATGAATTATTTTTGTAATATTTTATCCAGAGACCGGATAAGTACAAGTAAACTAACGAGGGAACATTCCCAACTGTTGTAATGATTTCGAATCGAGTCTTAATGCATCTTATAGATCTTGATGAGCCATGTTTACCATAGAAAGCGTTTGTCCCCATAACTTGTTTCTGAGGAGATCGAACGTTTTTAGTGAGTTTTTGCTTATAGGACCTGACATTTGTAGCAAGTCCATATTATTAAATTTTGACCTGAAATTTTGGCCACATAAAGAGGTTATCTAGACTAGTTTGCATAAAAAATTTCAGAATTTTTGTGCTACATCTCTCTGAGATATGGAGCTTTCAAGGTATCGGACGTTTTTGATAGGCAATATATACAACATGTAATTTTTGAAAGTTTCATCTCTCGAAGATAGGTAGTCCAAAATTTCTGAAATTTTTTATTCAAACAATAGAAAAGAAAATTTACTAAAAACGTTTGATCTCCTCAACATAGTTCACCAAGATCTACAAGATGCACTAAGTCCCGACTCGAAAGCGCTCCAACGGTTGGAAATGTTCCCTCGTAAGTTGAAGTACAAGTACTTGTACCTACAAAAATGCACTTTTTACTTCAGTACCGCTATTTTAAGTTCTTTTAAGTACTCGCATATCCTCAATAGTAAACTGCTTAAAATCACAATCGATGAATTGTCGGTTTTTGTATACTTGATCCGAGAAATTCGAAAGAAGTCAGTTGAATATTCGGTTATAAAATTTCACCATTTTTCATAACCATAAATATATTCTTGCACAGAAAATTTCAGACTATCGTACCGTGTTCCTCTCTACACATGATGGTGGCGAAATTCGACTGATAGACAAGTTTCTGACAATGAGACAAGAAAATGGAAAAAAGTGATTTTGATGTTCAACCATGAGACGCCGACAACACTTTAGAATGATTGATGATCATCAATATATCCTTGCTCATAAAATTTGGATTCGTGATAAGGTGGCTCTCTCGATCTATGATGGTAACGAATTTTCTTCCATGCACTCTACAAGTCGATATTTATGATCGTCATATACCCAAATGGGAACACGATCTGGCCACCTGAAACTTTTCGAGCGAGCATATGTTTATGATGTTGAAGTATGTGTAATCCCTTGGTGGTAGACGTTTCACATACGCAACGGTGATACCAAGATATCCACTGTGAAAGCGCTAAAATTCTGTGGCAAAATATGAAAATAATTTTTTTTCGAATTTTCCGGATCAAGCATACAAAAGCTGACAATCCATCGATTGTGGTTTCGAACGGTTTACTATTGAGGATATGCGAGTACTTAAAAGGACTTAAAGCACCGGTACTTAAGTACATGCACTTGTACTTGTACTTTGTACATAGAAAGTACGTAGGTATTTAAGTACTGTACTAAGTATCCACTCTCTGATTTCATTTTTACTTGAGTTAACAAAACAATGGTTTGTATTGAATACTCGACCACGGTGAAGCTCAACAAAAACAATTAGATCAAGTGTACAGCAGTAATGTGGGCTGGTTGTTCATTTTCACGATTCCTATCGGTGACTATACGAAATGTATCTGAATTTTTTATACGTTCTCCAAAAGGTAAGCATAGAAACTACAGCGCATTATCAGTAGATAATTTAGGAATAAATTTCACACTCATATCAAGTGCTTTCAATGATGTATATTCCATGTGTCGCTTGTTTGCCCAATTGGCATCAAATATGCGGTCGTCAACTCACAATACTGATCAATTATACATACATAGTTCAACTGGTCGCATATAAATTACGTGTTTTCATTCTTCATAATAGACTTTATGATTGAAGATAATAAAGATGGAATGTGGTAAAAATAAAACTTCATCTTCTTCTGGAATATTAGAAAACTGTTAAATGAGACGCCTGGTTAACAAATAGATTTTGAAATGTATATTTCGTTCTCTGAAAACTTTTGAATTCAGAGTTATCAAACTGCCGAGCTGGTACCGTTGTAGTTCATCAAATGTAAGCTGACAAACCTGTGTGACGTAACCTCAGTAATACGGTATACATGAAAGAGCTTTCACCAAGTAAAAAAGAATGATGACAGTTTCGTTCATGTCATCTTCGGTCTTTAGTTGTATTTGTCAACATCTTGTCCCTACGAATATGTAGTATTTACACGTGAAAACCGACTTCTCGTACTCTTTTCTACTGTTGTCAACAGTATCTTTGCATCGATCATTTCAAGAAACACTCAGACTTCCTCAATGATCAACTCATACCATTTGTTGATCGAATCTATGGACCGTTCGATCGATGCAACAACGTCCCTTTGCTTCCATCTATTTGTAGAATTTTGTGAGTAAAGAGAGAATCGATGAAATTCTGATTTCAACAGTAGCTAATTCTTTTTCTCTGTTAATGATTGTAATGAAGTCAGCCTTTCAGAATCAAGCGAAGAGCCTAGCGTCGGTTTACCGTTAGTCCGGTTGTTTACCTATTCGAATCCGAGAGCAAGAGCAGCGCTACGAGCTGTAATTGACTGCAACTCTCTGGGTACGAAGACAGTGGAAAGAACTATGAAGTCAAGAAAAAAGGTTTCGTAAAAATCACAGAGTTTTCTTTTGTGGTTCTTCATGAACACGACGATTCAGAATTCCAACACTCCATGCAAATTGTAGATTCACGTTATTAATAATTCAACTGTCGCAATATGCATGAAACTGAACTTGGTAAACGTTTTCAGGCTTCATATCTTGTGCGAGTTCGATGACCGTGCCATCGATGCCAATCATCGACAACCAACTACGATACTAAAGTTATTAATTCAACGGTGTATTCGAGCATTGCAAGCCCTTTCCATTTCTCTCACAAATACGTATAACAGTCTATCATGCCACTGTGGAAAATTTAAATTCATTGGAGAAAAGAATTCCGCATATTTGTATGAATATTGCGGTTCTCCACACAGAAAGATACAAATACATTAGGGATAATTAGAAATAATTGTCATTTTCATCCTTGACTCACATAGACTTTTATTCGTTCAAAAATGGTTCTTACAATAATCCAATTTCCCCACTTTCATTTGACAGTACGATAAGATAATACAATGTCTATTTTTTACGATGTTGCCATTTTTGAAAGATACGTTCGGCTTGATCTTCATTCACAGCTGCATTTTCCATTACATCATAGGTCATATCTGCATCTGCTCTCGCAATTGGTGTTGTATCATTTGTACCAAAAGATTCTGTAGAGGTAGCAAATGCAAATGGAGCAGTTCCATGTGCAGTAGCCGAAGACGTGCCAAATGTAAATCCAGTAGATGCAGCTACTGGTGGAGCATCCGATGACGTACCAAATGTAAATGTAGTAGATGCCGTCGAAGGTGGAGCGAACCCAAATGGAGTCGCTCTAGGTGCAGCAGCCGAAGACGTGCCAAATGTAAATCCAGTAGATGCAGCTACTGGTGGAGCATCCGATGACGTACCAAATGTAAATGTAGTAGATGCCGTCGGAGGTGAAACAAACCCAAATGGAGTAGCAGAAGTTGTGGCAAATGCGGGTGGAGCAGCTTTTGGTGCTGATAAGAAGGCATTCTGCATTTCAGCCATATTTTGACAAGTTGAAGAATATGCCTTGGCGGCAAACGACGTCACTCCATATGGATTTGTCATTTGTGTCGAAAAAAGATTATTCGTTGAAAAAATATTATTGATTCGTTTGACTTTTTCTTTATCATCAGCACCTTCTGCGTCTGCTCGTTTCATTTCACGGTTAATATCTTCTTCAGCGGCTTGCATTAACCGATCCAAGGAAATTTCTTCACGCACACCACCAATGATGACTTTAGCCAAGAGTTTAGCATTGACCATCGGAACATATTGACCACCGGTAGTATAAGCCAATGACATAAAAAAATCGCGATAAGGCGCTAGAAAAAGATCAATTAATGAGAACAATGGATGTTTCTCGAACTAAGCACTTACTAATAGGAGGTTCAACGCCAACTGAGTAGAGTGTGATGTGTTTTTCTGCCATGTCTCGAACGATTTGCACAGGATCGAGACCATGGGGACATCCATTGGGAAAACCATCGCCACTAGGATTGAGGCCATGAGGTGGAGCATCGGCAATCAGAATACAAATTTTTGTTGATTCAGCACGCCATGATAGTTTGAGAACAGCATGAAGTCCATCAGCGACGGCTTCTGGTGCATCTCCACCTCCATTTGCTTGACATTGTTGTAGCCAACCTTTCATCTCGCTAACTTTAGCGGTAAAATCATGTACACGTGTGACGAAAGTGTGATCCTAAGCAGAACGAAATGTTTCAGTCGAACATCGTTCTTCGAAATTTGATGCTTACTTGTGGTGGATGGTCACGATACTCAACAAGCGCCAAACGAATGTCGCTTTTCTCGCTGACGACTATTTCTTCCACAATTGAACGTATATTATCTGTAGCACTAGCAATATACGATCCCATTGATCCAGTGCAATCCATAACAAAGACTAGATCTGCACACAGCAAAAAAACATTGAAAAATAATTGATACACATTTAAATCATTCACCTACCCAGAATCGATGATTCGTGTTTCGCTAATTCAGGTCGAGCAACTTTCTCCATCGTAAATGCACTGGCCATGTTTGAATATATTCGGGTAGTGATGATTACTTAATCAAGCGAAAGTTATAAAAGAACGCATGGCGAGTTGTATGCAGGTAGTTTTATATGCTGCTGTTTTTCTTCTTTTCTTGCAAGCAGTTGTGTAAATTTATCGTCAGCATGACTCATTACCAAGCACGAAAAACATCTGAGTCATTTCTTCTTTTTCATTCTTACTATTTATTTTTTCGTTGAAGAAAGTTAACAAAAAAGCAACAGTGGACAAATTTTTTATCGGTAGAAAAAATGATCATTTCAATGGAGAAAATGACTGCTGGGTCAAAAGGCTGACTTCATATATTATCTTACTAATAGTGCTTCTCATCGGAAGATGTCATCTCATAACATCTTGGTGGAAAAGACTGGTGTCACATATCCAAGATTTTGGAGAAGTGCTCACTTCTCCCACAGGAGATGCGGCACCCACGCTCGGGAGATGCGGTGATTTGCTGTTGGAGATATATCATCTCATTGAGAGATGTGCATCCCTCACATTGGATGCTGCATCTCCTGCTGAAAATGCAGCATCTCCCGGCAGAGATGTGAGCACTTCTCCAAATTGCAGGATAAGTGACACTGCTGGAAAAAAGAGACAGCAATGATAGATTTTTCTTTTTTTTAAATGAAGACTATTTTTTGTTCTTCTTGTGATTATAAATTTAAAGAACTTGATGATTTAAATGAACATATTTCTTTATTTGTTCACTTAATACTTGGACTTTCATATTTGATGAATTTTCAGTATTGGTTAAACTTGATTCTATGAGTTGCTTTTGAGTTAATTGATCAATTAAATGTGAGAACCAATTGTCATTGAGGGTTTTTTATGTTTATTTTTTTTTTGATGGAACACTAAATATTTAATATTTCACTTATTGCTTTTTAAATTAAGAGAAATTAAAAGCTTACAGGTGTTCCACAATTTTCTTTTTTAAAATTTATAAGATCATATTCTGCTCTATTTGCTTGAACTAAACATTTTAAATAAACGATTTCAATGCGGCAACGATTGTTTTCAAGTTGCCATAGCTTTTGATGAAAAGGATGAAAGAAATTTATTAAAAGTTCGTCAAGTTTTCTACCTCCAAATCAGAATCGTTAGCTGTTGTCATTTTTATTTAAAAATATCTACAATACGACAGGAAATTTTCTTAATGAAATAAAGTAAGAGCGACCGATAAAGAAAAACTGGAAAAATGCAAGTGGAATAAATTGATTCTGTTTACAAAATCAAAAGAAAACCGCATGAAAACAAAAAAAATGACATAATAAGTAATAAATGACACTCTGCACATAATAATCAAGAAATAAAATAGTTCAGTTCTTTAACACCGATTAAACTTTTTCGATCTATATTACTTAACAGAATTACCTTTTGATTATGGATTGAAATAAACTCTACGAAGATACTGTATAGAGATAACCTCAATTTCTCATCGTATAAATATCTACTATTATGACTCGCCAAAAGATAAAACTCATCGAAAGTAAACTAATAATAACTGATATAACAATTAAATGCGTAGAATATCCACATCTAACATATACTGTTGGGTGTTGTAGTTCAGAACTCATTGAATACGTGCAGTGAGATGTAAAAAGAAGTAAACCATTGAATGCAATAAAAATTACTGAACAATAGCATAGTCAACGAGTTTTACGATCTTCACAATTTTCTTGATCAACAAAACCTATATTAATAATTTATTCCAAAATGAATATGAAAGAAAGATATGATTTTACCAGTACAGGCAGTTCTAATCACAAGAAATATGACACCAACTATAGCAAGACCTAAATAAAACTTTTCCATCTTAATAATGTGAAAAAGTCGATGTTATCAATTACTAGTCGAGCTATTGTTTGTTTATAACGACCAACTTCAAATGAAAGATGATTTGCTTGACGAAAATGTGTACAAGTATATATTAGTCCTGTATTAATCTGAAAAACGTAACCAGTGGCATTTCGATAATTATTTTTTACATTGTGCTAAGCAGTTAAATGCTGTTAATAATGGTGAATGATAATAGCTTGAAGAGCGACATAATCTGTCAATATCACTTTTTTCCACGAAGTTTTCAACATGAAAAAACGAATAAAAAATTTTGAAATTTCAATAAAACATTATTCTTTTATTCTTTTGTTTGTCTCTGTTATTCATTTAATACGAAAGATAATTTTGTTTTTACATATTATCGATGAGAAAGTATGAACTAAACTATATTGATAAAAAAATGTCAAACTTTGTTTTCTTTCCTAGTTTTTTCATCATCAACTATTGGTGTAGCAGTCCGCGTATCTTATATTGGGTTCATTTTCTTTAAAAACTTTTTTTTACCAAAACTATTCGTTCCTATATTTGTTTTTTCTTGTGTTTATGGACATACTTCCTTTACTAAGAGTTATTTTTACAATGAAATATGTGAACAACTGTCGAGAATAGGGACTGTAAAAATAGAAAAATTGATTCTTCATATGAAATGGCAACATGATGTCTAACATGTCCTTACAGAGATGTACTGATAGAAGATTCGCTTCTACTCTCTAATATTTTGGACTATTATGTATGTGAAAGAAAGTCGTAGCCTTTGACATCAGCCGACAGGTGATGAAGAATATTTATTGGTTTTTTCTTAAATGTTAACATTGCTTTTTTGTCTCTGAATAAAGAGTACCCCTTTCGTAGAAGTATATAATGAATTTATCTGTCTCTGGTTTCGATGACTACGTAGTTTTAAGTATATCTTATTTCTATAAAGAGCCTAAGTTTTAGGATATTTTTGTTTCATAATAAGTAGACATCAGCCAGCATTTTGTGGTTATTAAAGATCCTAATGAGGATTTGACTCTTGAAGTAATTATACAGTAAAAAAATTCATCCCACGTAGCAAAAATCGCTGCATTTTTGCATGAGATACCTAATTTGAATTCGAATATGGGTGTGGGATGTGGGTGTTGATGAAGAGACCCATACTCGAAACAAGATCTTTCTTTGCCTTTCAAATCTCTGTGGTTGTGTCAAAAAACTGCATAGAAATTATATTTTATCCTAAATTTTATAAATCTTGGAATATCTCTCTAATTAATTCATATTTCGCAGTCAACTACTAAAATTGGCGTTTAAACACGATTTATCGCTTCGAGTTATCCGCGAATTTTAAAAAATCGTTTCTGGTGCCATAATCGCAACAAAATATTATTTGATCACCAATTTTGCACAAAATACGATTTATCTATATTTTATAGTGATGATTTTTGAAATCATACAAGTCACGACGATTTTCAGAACAAGTGGTACTATGTATTCTTGCGGTTCATTCACTTTTCATTCTTTCATTTCCTTGTTTCAAATGCTATAATTTAAAAACCTATCCGACTTCGGCCACTGTAAATCGAAATAAAAAATGATGATTCAAAAGATTTTTTTTCAGAAGTAAACGAAATCGAAATACAAGTTTTCATCATTTATCAGGAGCAGCGGATGGATACATTCACTGTTAACCACAGCAACGGTTTATGAACAATGACAACAACAAAAGACAAACTGTATCTATAAAGAACGTTAGATGAGAAGAGGCAATAAATTTTGACAGTTTTCTGCCTACCAAATAAAATCAATAAGTAGGTAATACAAAGGATTGCTAGAAATTCTTCGTGAATAAAAATACTTATTTTTTTCTTTTGTACTGTTTTTTGGGTGTACGATCCTCATTAATGCTATTGTGCATTAAAATGCGTAGTAAGTACTGTTCTCAATATTGAAAATCATTTTGTTTGATTAGAACCTTATATGAAAGCATTCAAGTCTCAATAAAAGTTCGAAAAGTTGCTTAGATTTATATATTAAAAAAAAAGAAATTCGTATTTCTAATGAAACATTTGCAGAATGTTTTCTCTTCTAATGTTACTTTGATAGACTTTCTTTTATAGCTTCTTGTTCAGCGCTATTTTCGTTTCCAAAAATACAATTAAAAATAAATTACATATTCGATTGAATAGAGAATAGATACCGTTTGTTAAAAAATTTCTACATTATCGATGAAAAAAAAAAGTAAGAATGGCGTTATTGCTATTCCATGTCTTTGTTAGTGAAAGTTGATTTTGTGTTAAAACATTTTGTCTAGAAAAAGTACTACTTCAGTCTCTCATTGTGTTTGCATGTGATATTCATCTTTGTCGCTGTTTTGCGTCTATTGATTCTCCTATATTCCATTAGCTTTACTCATTTTTTCGTGTTTACTTCTAATCTCGAACACAAAATTCTACAAAAGTCTGCTATACATACTTGAAAGTTTCATGTAACATTCAACTGAAAGTATATAATATATTGACATCTATCACCTTTGTAAACTTGCTTTTTCATTGGATTGTTCGCAGTACACTTGTTTGCTGTCTCTATGTAAGAAGAAAAATAACTGAAGCATGACAAAAGTTAATGAAACATAGTCAATAAATATATCGATATGGAGAAAAGGAAGTTTCAACAGACATTCATTGTTGCAGAATATGGTGTTCAAAAGCAAACAAAACTTATGGCTGATCAAGTCCCCTTGTCGATTTTGACATTACCCGTTGAACTTGTCTATCGGATTCTGGATAATCTCGATGACTTCACGATTTTTTGTTCAGCTCGTAACGTGTGTACAAGACTGAATATGATTACTGATACGTATCATCGATATCAGGTAAATTTCATCTTTATTATGGAGTCAGATTTCTTTCATCTTCAAGACCTGATTTTTGTTTAACAAATGATTATTTTCATGAAATTACTTGTTGATTTTAAAATAGTACTAGTGCGATGAAAATATTTTAAAATTACTGAATATTACCAAAAAACAAAATATCATTACGTTATGTAAACTATTTCAGAAGATTTCATTGAGTTTCTTATTTTTCTGCAATGTTCTACTCGATAGAAAACAAAGTTAATTTGTTTTTTTTAATCCTTCGGAGATTTTCCCAGCATCGTTTCA